TCTCCTGCTTCTGTAGTTCACGGGTGTCCGAAAAAACCTTCGCAAGCTTGTCAGCGAGAAACTCGACCGGCATAACCCTCGAAAGCAGAAAGGCTGCCGGGTACGATAGCGTACGATACGCCGCGATAACCCTTAAAGCTATCTTACGTTGCAGGGCCCTAATGTCCCTAGCCAGCTTCTGGTCAGAACCGAGGGCATGTGCCCAGACCGGGGCACCATAAAAGATAACTGAGTGAACAACCGCACTGTATAAACGCCTAGCCCACTCATTCGGCCCTCTTAGGTTGGGCATTAACCTGGCTAACGCGAGTGACATTCGTTCAGCCCTAGGTAGCGTATCCGCAAAGTGCTCTCTAAAAGTCCATTTACGCCCTATAATCAGGCCCAGGTATTTCAGGGAGGAGCCAAGTGGAATCAGGACCCCCCCAACCAATACCGACCTGTTCCGCACGAACCTATGTGCCCTCGAGAAGGCGCACGCTTCGGTCTTCGCAACCGAGACCCTCAGACTAAGAGATTCGATTCGTCTTATAACCAGAGCCACCGCCATTTCCACTCGGGCGGTGGCAATGTCAAGACTTTCACCTAGGGCCACCACGAGTGTGTCATCTGCGTAGCAGATAATGTGACATTCGGGTAGAAGATCAATGTCCAGGACCTCATCATAGGTGAAATTCCAGCTTTCCGGCCCGTAGGCCGAGCCCTGGGGGACCCCGCATGTCATGGGGATTCTTCTCGTTCGTCCCTTAGCGTCCGCCCAGACGATTGCTCTATCCGCTAAATAATCCCCTGTAATTACTCTCAAGTAATTGGGGATTTCCTTCCTGATTAAGGCCTGCCTAATCTTGTCCCATGGAAGGGAATTGAAAGCGTTAGATATGTCCAAGGAGACAGCTATTGCTTGCTGTTTTTCCTCACCGAAGACCGGGTTCAATATTTCCTTAAGCCGGAGGACCGCATCCACCGTTGAGCGTTTTTCTCGAAAGCCAAACTGGTGTTCGGATATCCCAGTCCCCTCTCGGAGGCTCGCTCTTATTCTTCTAACAATTATTCGTTCTAACATTTTCCCCAATTCGTTAATGAGACATATGGGGCGGTATGAGGATGGCACCCCATCCGGCTTTCCCGGCTTTCTCAGCAGCACGAGCTTCGCCGTCTTCCAACATGCGGGGAAAATTCCCTCCCGCAGGCATGCCGTGAAGCAGCGTTTGAGTGGCCCCACTATTTCAGGGAGAGCTTCCCTGATGACACCACCCGTGATTCCATCGGGACCCGGAGCCTTACCACTACGCCTAACTTTCTTTGCAGCCCACTGGATCTCTTCATTGGTAATTTCTTGGTCTTCGTTCCAGATAACCAACTCTCTTGGTCTAGGCAGGAGTTCGTCATCCATTCTTGGGAAAAGTCCCGACACAATCCGAGATATTTCAGCTGGGGGAAATGCCTCACACACCGGCTTTTCGGGGGAGCGCAGTTTCCCGGTAACAATTCTATACGGGCGACCCCAAGGGTCGCGGTCGATTGTTGCCATAAGCTCTTTCCATGCTCCATTTTTGGCCTCCTTAATGGCTGTTCTGAGATTCTTACGGGCTCTAGCCAGGTCCTGTTCCAAGGAGGGCGCAGCCGCATGCCTCTTTCTATGGGCCCTGGTTACTCTGCGTCTAAGCCGATTACACTCCTTCCTAAGACCCGCTATCTGATCATTCCACCAGTACATTGCTTTCTTCTTAGCCGACCTATGCCGTGACATTGCCAGGTCAGAGGCCTCGACTAATGCTTGCTGTAGGCGTTCGGCCTGATCTGTTGCTCCAATTTCCTCAAGTCCCGGCCAGTAGTTCACAGTCAAGCTGGCCGTAAGTAAGTCTGGTTTTAGGCTCTTGGTATTCCATTTAGGAAACCCTTGTGCGGCACAACTTTGAGGATTCTCCATTCCTCTATCCAAAGTAAGGAAAATATACCGATGGTCCGATAGCGACTCCATATCTGCCCTCGTTTCCCACGCTCTGATGGTCGGTAATAAAGCAGGCGACACCCAAGTCAGATCGACAATCGAGACCCTGTGGTCTCACACAAGTTGGAATCATCCCCTCGTTGATCAACCTGAGGTCCAAGGCAGCCGCCCAGGTCACCAGTGCATCTCCTCTCGATGTAGGGTGAGTGTCCTCCCAGAGATGTGATCTTGCGTTAAAGTCACCCATGACTATTAGAGGGCCTCTTACATAGTTAGAAATGACGTTCGTCAACGTCTGCAGATAGGCCTTGAATTCTCTGATACCTTTGTTAGGGGAAAAATAACAGGAAGCTATGACCTTCCTTTCCCATCTAACAACCACAAACCCCGGGCCACGTCCCAAGATAGTGACCGGGCCAGAAGTCAGTGACCCACTCCAAGTTACCGCTGCAAGTGGAGGATCCTCAGTTGATTTCGCCCACCTTGGGTCAGTCGGTACGGTATAGGGCTCTTGTAGGCATGCAAGCCCGCAGCCCCTCTCTTGCATGACCTGTATGAGGAGATCCTGCGCACCGACCGATCTGTTTAAGTTAATTTGTATTATTCTACCTATTCCGCTCGACTCGGTCCGGCAACGTCACTCCGATTAGCCGGTGTTCTTTGTGGCCTTGGGCTCATACTCGCGTTTCTTTTGGGAGGGCAAGGGGGACATTCCTCCGATCCAGCTCTGTGATCGTACCTCCGCCCGGCCTCCCTACAAATAGGGCAGGTAGGCGGTCTGTTGCACTCTCTGGCCAAGTGTCCCGCTGTACCGCAATTGAAACAGCTCAGCGACCGATCGACATCACTTGGACATCTTTCTCTTACGTGTCCAGTAGCCAGGCACTTATAGCACTGGACGGGTCTTTTCTTCAGAAGGTCCACTTTCGTCGTGGACCACCCCACTCGTAGACTACCCGCCTGGGCCAAGCGCATCGCAGCATCAAGTGGACACTGGGTCCTCACCGTGCGGAGGCCATTTCTTGTCGACCTTGACTGGCCCATAATGTAATCCAATGAGGATGTCGTCCTCATTGCATCCTCCAGCCTCAGCAACCGCCGTTCTCAGTTCTCTCGGGCCAATAGAGGCGTCAAGTCCAGACAATCGAAGTTCACCCTTGTGAGATGGTCTTGAGATCCTGACCCCCGAATCCTTAAAAGTTTCACGCAACTTAGCCGCCAGCGTGTCCGCCTTCGGGGACATGTCAGTGCCCGGAATCTCCACGATCACAGCCCCAGACATTGCAGTCCTGAGCCTAGTGTGTTCAATCCCCAGTTCTTTGAGGTCTACGTTATCCCGGGCTCTTTTGACCACGTCCGCGAATTTCATTCCCTCAGGGAATGCCATGGCTACGGCCGCCGATCGCAAGAGGCGTCCACGACCGGCCGCTGGATCCACCCTTTGGGTAGCGGGTGGGTTTGGCGCCCTTGTACCTCTCTCATTTCTTCTTTCAGGTAGGCGTTCCGCAGCGATCCCTTTCTCTTCTACCAGACGCGCTCCATCTACAACCGGAGTTCGTAGGGTTTCCTCCCTCTCAGTACGCGGTCCTCTTCTCTCCTGTGTTCTTTTTCTTGTGGCTCTAACCCGGACAAACCCATCATCCTCGGTCTGTGACTCAGTCACCACAGATGAGGGGGGCGATCCTCCAACAGACCAGGCTTATCAAGTATACGTCTTGGGCCTTTACCCTGTGAGAGCTTGCTTCTGCGGGTGTCCGGCAGATGCTCCTTGAGGGCCGTCGCCACTGCTCCACTGATAGCAGCGGTTAGCTTGACAAAGAAGTCCTCTCCAGGGGGGCTTTTAATTGCTCTCGGAGGAAGATCCTTCGTCCCGACCGGAGTTCTCTCCCTGTCCGGAGTCGCACGCCTATTCACATTTACTCTGCCCTCCATTATGTGTGACATATCCGCCATTGGGCTGAAGAACTCAACGGACGGCCCAGGCGATACTACTCCTGCCTGTCCATCCTTCCTCGCAGTCGCCTTTTCGAGCGCTGATGTTCCACTTCGTAGGTTCTCAATTTCGAGTCTAAGCCGCTGGTTATTCTCTTTCAAGTCCTTCATTTCTTGCTGAAGCCCCAGAATCTTGGTTCGAAGAAAACCGGAGTCGCCATCCATCGAGGCCCTCATTGCCAGAACCCTGATAGCCTCCGCAGCCGCCGAGGTCTTGATCTTCATGGCATGGGCAAAAGACTCTTTTATATTTTTGGATCGTCTCCTGCGATCTTCACTTGCTAGTGCTGCCATGTCGGCCGAAGAGGCTCTTCGATCTGGCCAACGAGGTCATTCACCTCCTGTTTCTGTGCATCAGTGAATCTCCCCAAGGGCTGCCTTTCGTCGTCAGAGTCCTCAGGGGACGATGTTATTCTTCTTTTCCTTTTGGACGAAGCTCGAGAAGAATCCGAATTCCTCCTAAGTCTCGAAGCCGACGTGTACGAGACAAACTCCAAGTCCCTGCTCCGAGGGGTACTTGGTCTGGGCGACGGACCTGCCTCAGTTGTTTCCACTAATTTCAGATCCGGAGAATCCGGTCTTACAGGAGGGTTATTAATTTTCTTCTTACTCCCCGCAGGGATATCCGCTGGTTTCTCAAAGATGTGGCCTTCCTCGGCCTCCTCCATACTAACGTCCGCTGGTAACGATCCACTTTGGTCCTTCAGCATGGTCCTCCCGTCGGTCAGTTTAGTTACCGCTATATTAACGCGCTCCATCCTCACGATAGCCGGTTTGAGTGAGGGGGTCGTGGTCCCCCCCACCCCACTCCCTTCGCATGCTATCGACGCTGGAGGGCAGGGACAAGAGTCCTCCTCGCGCCGTTCCTCAGGGGTCCAAAGCCCCGAGGGGATTTTTCCCTTTGCTTGACTTTCCATATTGTTAGTCTTAGGGCTGGCTTTTTTGCCAAGAGGCCCCCTCTTGCCCCCTCTCACCATGCCCGGATACGGGGTTCACGGGCTGGGAATAGATCTTGTTCAGTTAGTTCCACACTCGTTAGCCCTTCTGCTCCCCAGGAAAAAACCTTGTATGAAGAACGTAACACTGGGTGCACGGGCCAACGTCGCTCCAGAGAGGCAATCCTAGTACACGTGCTGTTTGATCCACAGCAATCGCTTTCCGCAGTTGTCCGCGTTCAATCTTCCAGTATTATAGATCCGAGAGACCCGGAGGAGGAGCCAGCGGGCTCAACTCAACTCAACGGTGTCTCGGTAGTGGGGCATCCACACACCACCGAAGGAAGCACATACGCGAGCCTACACTTGGGCTTGAGTTATCTTATCCTAGCTAGACACTACTAAACGGGTATAGCCTAACAATAATAATAATAAAGAACAACGCTAGAAAACTCAAAAATAGACACAATCGAACAACTTACCCAGACAGCACAAGGACGTCCAATGTACGTCCAGTGTACATCTGCCTCTGGACATTGGGACGTCCATATAACGTCAAATTAAAGTCCGTTGGACATCCACGGGACATACATGGGATATCCATTTGTCACAACTTTGAACGTCCATAGAATGTCCAAAATATATCCATTCTGGACTTATTGTGGACTTGTTATGGACTAAATTTGGACATTTTTGTAACTGGAGAATACTATAATAAATGGACTAACTTACATTTTGTAAAAACGGAGAAAATGAATTCTTAAGACATATTCAAAGCATAAACTGAATGCATATTCCAATAAATATACTTACAATAAAAGGTATCTATTCTATCATCTCTTTTATCCTCTGAATATGTTTCTAGATTTTATTTTCTCCAATTTTACAAAATGGATTAGTCCATTGTTACAGCAAGTACTTTAATTATAAATTTAATTAAAAATAATTGGAAGTATTGATCGCGCAAATAATTGTAAAAACTAATAATACAATTAATTAAATAATACAATTTGTTGGTATTAATATTTTAATTGAATAATAACAATATTTATTATATATTGTTTACATATTTGTTGTACTAATATCACATATTTTTTTAGGCTTATGTAATTATGTATAAAGATATAATTAAGGAATAAAAACTATATTTCAACTTTAAACAGAAAATCACTAACTAATCAAATAACATTGAATGATATTTCTTATGTATAACGTTATTATGTATAAAGATATAATTTATTAGTTACAATTATTTAGTGTGTTCTGGTTTGCAAGTTTTTTTTCAGTTGCATCAGACCTTTCTTTTGCTCTTCTTAACCATTTTTTGGTGGCTTCTTCTAGATCCTTTCTTGTAAAAGTCTTATTGTACTCTTCTCCCGCAGCTGAAGCATATAAAATCAAGCATAAATGAGAAAATATTTTTAAGTTAATTACTTACTTTTAGAAATTTCTGAGTTATCATTTGTATTTGCTTATTTATCAAAATTTCACCAATTGTGTGGTTTATTGTATTCTTGATAGATATTCTAATATACTGCATCCTTGCTTCAAAAATGATACATCACACAACTTAAAATATTAAGTTTTTTAGAAAAAGAGAAAGAACTGCTTTTTAATTTAACCGAATTACTGATAATTATAATCAAATATTGACAAAAAAAGAATATTATTGTTCGTCATATCAGAATATTATCCTTTAATATCGTTCAATATTATTTGGTTAGTCAGTAATTTTCTGTTGAGTTGAAATGTAATTTTTATTCCTTTTCTAAAAAACTCAATTTTTTTAATTGTTTCACTTTTGAAATAATAGTGTGATATTTTATAGTATCACAGTACAGGACCGTATAGTCTAATGTCATATTTAAACATAATATTTATATTTATCATTTTAAAGATATCTTAAAATGCTGTATTTGATTATTATTGATTATTTTATTGACTGGATAAAATCTTAAAATCACTTGAAACCAAAATTTAAGCAATCTTAAATATCAGCTGATTATATAAATATCGTCCTCACAGAGCTTTCAAAACTTGATAAAGCAAATTACAATCTTTGTGGAACATTGATAATAAAAAACCTAATGATAATCCAAAAACCTAGAAAAATAGACAGTGGAAACTTCTAATTTTTAAATTAATTTAGATAATATTAATCGCTTACCAATTAACATTTCTGCTAATTTCAATTCATAAAATTTTTCTTTTTGTTTCTTTCCTAACCAACTATATCTTTCTGCCAATTTATTACTTAGAAGTTGGCTCAAGTTTCGTTTTATAAATTCATATGAATGTTTACCCCCAATACGCGATGCTTGTGCAACCTGCAATACATTTTTAAATTGAAATTCATATAATACATTCAATATATTTATTATTTGAATTTTATTAAATACATTGCTATATACTAAATTGCTATATTAAATCTCTCTAACTCTCTATACATATAAAATTATAAAAATCAATAATATTGATTTAAGCTACCAGTGAAGAACATGTATAATAAACAATTTACAAATATTTTCATGTCTATAATTACAAATACAACAAAATAGATATTTGTACCTAAAAGATAATAATATTTAAAACAAAAATATTACCGATGTTTTAAAATTATCCTGGTTTTTTAAAAATTGCTCGACTTCTTCTAAATCTTGTGCTGTTTCTAATGGAAGCGTGAAAGAACCGAAAATTGATTCTTGTCTTTGAATACTGTTATTAGGAGTTTGATTTAGCCCAATATTTTTAATGTCTCGTATGTCCTCAGACGTTTGCCACAATTGAGCTTTAAAATAATTTTGTTGGCGGATTATCTCTTTAAAATACATCTCTGAAAAACCAATCATTATTAATTTTATATAAACATATTATATATGATGAGCTAAAGATAAAATATATACCATTTTTATTTTGCATCTGAGCATGTGTTGGACACAACTGACATGTGCATTCCACAGAATTTATCAATAAAGAATTATTTTCTATGTCTGATTGTGAGTTAACAAAATTGTTATTATTCTTCTCTGCAACCACCTGATTACCTGTAGTTTTCAACATTGTTATAAAATAATTAAATTAGTTTAATAATTTAGATATATAAAACAAATATTTTTTGAATAACAATAATAATGATAAATGTCACGCGTCTCTTATGGAATTTCAAACACTTAAACTTCTATCTTTTATGATAATAATAATACTTCAAATCTAATAAAGAGGAGTTTATGAATCAAACTAAAATTTTTCTTATGCTAAAAAACGGTACGTATATTACATTATATTATAACATACAAATAACAAAATGTAAATGAAACATTTTAATTATATTAAATTATTTGTTCATTAATATAAATATTTTCTTAGCACAAAAATTTAACTTGTTTTAAAATCTTCCTTTATTATATCTTTAAACACTAATTAAGATATTCGTTTAATATATATCTCAGTCTTGAAAAAGAACTTAGACTTCCGTGAAATATCGGAGCTAGTTTTAAAAAATAACTAATATACTGTATTGGAAAAAAAAGCTAAAACAAAACAGTTAATTAAGTACACAAACAGTTTATTGTTTATTTAATAGAACACAAGATTCTTGTAAAGTCATCTTAATGCAAAGCCGCGATTACAAAATGCACAACGAGAATTAGAATAGATCGCGGATCTGAAAAACACGTACACACACGTGGATAATTCAAATGCTCGAGACAGACAAGAATGTCACGAGGATTCCCGATTAATGGAAAAATTGCTCTGGTTTACCCACATTAGTCTTGTAAGCGTAAAGATGCGTACATAAGAATTATTAACGATTTTAAATATTTTTTATTTATTAATATTATTATATAAATATAAATATATATATATATATATATTTTTTTTTCTATAAAATTGCGTCTTTAGATACATTAATATATTCAAAAGAATTTCACATGATGTAATTTAATTATTATACATTTTCTCATAGACATTTTTTGAGAAATAATGTAATACCTATATATGATAACGTTATAATTACTTTATAGAAATTGTTAATAATGAATCTATACCTTCCACATAATCAAGCTTTCTCAAAGATGTACTGAGAGATTGAGAAGACTCTTTAGAATTTATTTTTGCAATCTTATTTCTCACGTTATATGTTTGCGCAATGTCTTTATTAATTTCATCTCTTCTCATTTCGCAATCTAAAAAATATGTAAATAAATATTTGTTACAAAATAAAATATTTATTTAGTATAATGAAAAATACACTTAAAAGAAATATATATTGTATATACATGTGTACACACACGCACACACACACACACGCACGCACGCACGCACGCACGCACGCACGCACGCACGCACGCAGGCACGCACGCACGCACACGCACATAAAATCTCTGAAAAGTTTGGGAGAACCTGCGGAAATAATATGTAAAAAGTTTAATATGTTGATAAAAAAAATTACTGTATATTTTTTTTTTATTTTAGATTAAAGAAACAGTTTTAAATCAGTTTTTATTTTATATTTTTTGAATTTGCTTTAACCTTAAGCACATAAAAAAAGCATTTTTTTAAATTGTTATTTTGAAACTTTGCATGTCAGTAAAAAATCATCGTACCAAAATAATAAAAAGATTGTACTAACATATATGTACACTTTTAAAAAATTTACTATTAAACATTTTTTAATGTTTTAGGTAATGTTATTTTAAGTTACTTTATAAATGCAATGCTTTTGAAATTAAAGAATATTTTATACGTAATAAAATTTTGTATACAAAAGGGCGATAATTTTTTATAACGTAATAATTGGCTTTGACAATCCGAAGAAAGAACAAATATTACTTTCCACTGAATATCAAAAAAACAATTAAATAATAACCATTCCCAAAAATTTATATACATAATTTACATTTTATTCAAATTATAAAATAATTACTCGTATGTTTAAAACAAAGGTTATATATACAAATTATATTGTAAAGATTGTGACGCGTCATACATTGGTCAAATTAAGAGAAAACTAAAAACAAGAGTTAATAAAAACTGTAAAAATATTAAATTAGACTCTAATAAGCACTTTGTTATTACTGAATACATCAACTTACAACATTCAATAGATTGAAAAAATGTTAAAATTTTAGACCGTGAACCTAGATACTATAAAAGACTAATTGCAGAGATGCTGCCCTAACTCTTTTCTATTTTATTATTAAAAAACAAATTTGTTTTGTAAAATTATTAATATTTAAACAAACCTTCTAAAAGAGGAGGCGTTGGCAGGGACCTGTTATTATATTCCTCATCTTCTGAAGAAGATGAAAACTGTCTTTTTCTATAAATTTTTCTTTTTTTCTTTTCTTCGCAACCTGAAATTTCGGTATTTAAATCTGATGTGTTCTCAGCTTTCCTGCACTTCTCTCTTGCCGTCATATAATTATCTAACAAAAATATAAAAAGTAATATTCAATTTATATCAGTATATTAATTATAATTAAGTTTCATATTTATCAACATAACAAACAGTTTTTATTAATGAACAAAACTAAATAATTTTATAGCTTTTACATAAAATAGTTCGGATATTAAATTAACATTATATATAGTAATTCAATTAACATATACCACAATATAAAATAGATTCAGTTTCAAAAAAATTTATTCTAGATAAAAATGATACATATAATTATAATATATGATATACTTGATTACCATAAGTGCTGTTTCGAAAAATTGTCACTTCATATGAAGGCCAATGTGTATTTGGCTCTTCATTCTTTCGGATTGCTGTTATCACTTTATCGCGCTGAAAAGGTGGCCAGTAACATTGTTTGTTAAAAATCCATGAAGTTGGTACAGCTTCGACTAAATTTTCGTCGTTAAATTTTACCACCGTCCATGACGATCCTGGCATTTTTTAAATCTGTAAACAATGAGAACAGTATTCGAGTAGTCCACTGTGATCCCTTCTTTTCTTCCTCTTTTCCTCCCTCTTTTCCTTCCTCCCTCCTTCTCTTCCCCCCTCTCTTTCTCACCCCGTCTTTGACTGCATTCAGCGGAAATAATAGCTTTGCAACTGTTGTATAATTTCTTAATATGACAGGTATTTGTTCTTAATTCCTCAGTGGAACTAAATGTATAAACCAATCATATTAAAGAATCTTACAATAACTGCATAGTTTCTTTTTCTACTGAACGCAACTTCTGTCTCTTTTAAGAAAAGCAGCAATAGAAAGAAAAACCGTGTTATATAAAAATAAAAAATCAAAATTAAAAGCATCAGTTTTTATTTAAAAATTATAAGATTTGTATTTTCATGTTTACTAATTTAAAATTGATAGTATTACATGTATTATAAATTTTGTATTGATAATATTAGAAACATAGCAATAACTTAAGAAGGTCTAGACTATATACGTTCATTGTAAATATATTATTTTAAGTGTAAAAGAGGAAACACAACATACTGATTTTTATAGTTTAATTTTAAACATTTATATGCAATTTGCTCTAAATTCCATGTCTGCAAGTTTCCGAGATCATTGACTAAATAAATGCCCAATTTAGATGATTTACAGGGTTCAGAATAAAAATCAGTGAATGACTTAAATTTCTGTCCAATTAAAAAAGTACCTTCATTATTCGAAATAAAATTCTTAATAACTACTATAGTTCCATTAATTAAACA